ATGAGGAGAACAAGAAGATGTAGAGGAGGAGGAAGTGAGAAGAAGAAATATAAGTGTTTGTGCGTAGAACATTGCGGGAGTGCTAAATAAGGACAGTGAAGTGTGGAAGTATTTAAGTGAATTTGATGTGATTATGTTAGTAGAGACATGGTTGAAAAAGGACAAGTGGGCTAATGTAGAAAAAGAGTTGTCAAAAAGTTATGAGTGGAAGTGCATAGCAGCGACTAGAGAGCATAAAAAAGGTAGAGCGAAAGGAGGAGTAATATTGGGAATAAGCAAAAAATTGGAGAGTAGAAATCATGAAGTATGGAGCGATAATATAGTAATGCAGGAGATTAAACACGGAAATCAGAAGTGGAAGATCATAGGAGTGTATAGTCAAAATGTAGCAGAGACGATGGAAATTATAAAGGAAAAAGTAAAAACGAAGGAAAGTGGATGTGTACTTATACTAGGAGATTGGAATGCAAGAACTGGGAGAGAAGGAGGTTGGATTAATGAAAGTGATAGTGAGAGTGATAGTGACGACAAGGACGTAAGGTTAAGAAAGTCGAAAGACGAAAAGATCAATGAGGAAGGTAGAAGACTAATAAAAGAAATAACAGAAGAAGGATGGTGTATAGTAAATGGGCAAAAAGGAGAAGAAGGAGAATTCACATACGTTGGTAGCAGAGGAGAGTCGGTAATAGATTACGCAATAGGATGGCAAGAAGCGTTAGATCAGATTAAGGAAGTGAAGATAGGACAAAGAATGGAATCAGATCATATGCCGCTAGAAGTATACCTAGAAAAGGAAATAGAGGTAGGAATTGTAAAGAAAGAAGAGAGAACAAAGGCAAGGAGGGATTGGACTCAAGAATTGATTGATCAGTGTGGAGAAAGGTGTAAAGACTGGGAGCGGAAGGGAAAAGAGGTTGAAGAAAGATGGAGTGAATTGAAAGAAAAAATAGAAAGTGCAGTACCTAAGGTGGAAAAACAGTGTAAAGTGTGGAAGATGGGGGATAAAAAATGGCACGATAAAGAATGGAAGGAGAAGAAGAAGGATTTAAGAAGAATAATGAAAAGGTGGAGAAAAAAGAAAATAGAAAGAAGTTATTACATAGATAAAAAAAAAGAGTATAGAAACTGGTGTGAGGCAAAAAAGAAAAGGTTTGAAAGATTAGAAGAAGAAGAGATAAAAAATGCAACATCGGAAGGCAAAGTGTGAAAATATATAAGTAAGTACAGGAAAAAACGAAGGAGAGAAATATCTAAAAAGTTCACAGTAGAAGAGTGGAGAAGGTAAAGTTAGATGGGAAGAATGAAGAAGGAATTGTGAGAGAAGAGAAAAGAAAGGAAGAGGCAAGAACAAATGCAGAGGATCAGGAAGAAATGAGCAAGGAAGAGTTCAAGAGGCAAATAGCCAGATTAAAAGTAGGAAAAGCACCAGGAGAAGACAAGCTGGAAAATGAAGTATGGAAGTACATGCCGGGAGAAGTGGATGCAGCTCTTTGGGAATTGCTGAAAAAAGTATGGGAAAAAGGAGAATTACCGGATCAGTGGAGGCAAGGTACGATTTGTTTGATTCACAAAAAAGGTGATAAAGATATGTTAGAAAATTATAGAGGAGTTACATTAACATGTACAGCATATAAGATTTATGCGAGTATGTTAAATGAGATGTTAAAAAAGGAAATCGAAGGTAAATTATCAGAAAGCCAGTTTGGTTTCAGAGAAAAGAGAGGAGTAATAGAAGCTATATACACATTGAAACACATTGTTGATGAAAAATTAAGCAAAGAAAGAGGAAAATTGTTTACATGTTTTATTGATTTAAAGAAAGCATTTGATCGAGTGGATAGGAAAGTTTTAAAGGAAAGATTAATAGAAATGGAAGTGAGTGAAAAGCTAAGAAATAGGATTATGGATATTTAAAAAGAAACGAGAAATGTAGTTAAAGTTGGAGAAGAGGAATCCAAGGAATTTTGGACAGAGAAAGGTGTGAGACAAGGCTGCCCACTGAGCCCGACGCTGTTTAATGTGTACTTAGCGGATCTGGAGCAAGAATTAAAGAAAGGGCAGGTGGAAGGATGCAGAGTTGGTAATGAAAAAGTATGGAGTCTATCTTACGCGGATGATATAGTATTAATAGCTGATAGAGAAGAAGAATTGAAAAAGATGTTAAAGAGATTTAAAAAGTACATAAATAAAAAGAAGATGATTTTAAGTGAGAAAAAAACGAAAATTTTAGTGTTCGAAAAAAGAAAGAGGAATGATAGAAGGTGGAAGTGGGGAAGTAAGGAATTAGAAGAAGTAAATGAAATAAGATATTTAGGATATATACTACAGAAAAATGGGAGAAACGATAGGCATATAGAAGAAAGGAAAAGGAAAGCAGTGATAGCTATGAAAAATGCATGGAGCATAGGAGAAAGAATATTTAAGAATAGCTATAAAAGAAGAAGAAAATTATTTACAGCCCTAGTAGAAAGTATAGCGCTATTTGGTGCGGAAGTGTGGGGCTGGGAAGAAGAAGAAAGACTAGAAAGTGTACAGAGAAGATATATGAAATGGATATTAGGATTAGACAGCAATACACCAAATTATATAGTGGAGGAGGAGTGTAGATTAGAAAGGATGAGTATAAAAGCGTTAAGGAGAGCGTTAAAGTTTGAAGAGAAAATTAGGGAGTCAGACATAAAATTAGTAAAAGAATGCATAAGAGAAAAGGACAAGGACAAGGAAAGAGAGAGAATAGGAAAGGACTCAAAAAAGAGAGCTGAATTACTACGGCAAGAGAAAGTAAAAGAAACAAGATTTATGAAAGGAGTAGAATTTAGGGAGGAAGTAAGAGAAAAAATATTAATGAACAAGGAAAGAAAAGAAAAAGAGAAGAGAATGGAAAAGATAGAGAATTCACGGTACAACAGAACATATAAAGGTATAAGAACAGAAGATGAACCAGAATACTTGAAAAAGGATATGCCATTAAAGGATAGAAAGTTAGTAGCAAGGTTTAGATGCGGAAATGAATGCAGAAGTAGAGAATACTGGAAAGGAGAGGAGGATAAGAAGTGTAGATTATGCAAGAAGGAGGAAGAAGATCTTAGGCACATACTAAAGATTTGCGGAGATACGAGAAATGAAGAAGAAATGGAAAAAATACTAAGCCATGATGCAAAAGAGATAGAAGTGCTAAGAAAAGTAATCAGAAAAAGGAAGGAGTCAGAAAAGATCTAAAAGATAAAAGAAAGTATGCAGAAAGTTAAGGTAGTAAAGAGAGAAGAAGGATTAGTAGGACAAGAAAGAAAAGAGAAAAAGAAATGCAAGGAAGAATGAAGAATACAAGAAAATATATGAACAATTTAAAGAAAAAAGTTGTTAATTTTTGAAATTTTTGATAGTTAAGTAGTATTAGAAAATTTGTTTATTGAGTTAAATATGGGAAATTTTGATAATTTTGATAATTAAGTTGAAAATTTTTGAATTTTTGATAGACATGTGTTAAATTTTGAATTTTGAGAATTGAGTTTTGTATATTTGGAATTGTAGTAATATTAAGTTTGTTTTATTTCTATATTATTTTAACAAAAGACACAAGTAGAATATTAAGAATAGTTGAATTAAAAATAAATATATTATATAGCGTAGATTAAGTATGTATTAAATGTACAAAAATTTTACGGAACCCCTCCAAACCCGTAAGGGACGGAGTATGAAATAAGTAAAAAAATAAATAAAATAAGTACTAGAGCAAGAGGATGCCTGAAGTAACTAAAATTATTGTTCATACGAAAATTGAAAATAGAAACGTGTGTCAATTAATGAGATTAGAATCTTTTAAAGCTTTGGCTTGCGCATTCATCTTGTCATAACGTGAGACTAAAAAAGTGACCAATAAAAGGTAATACAGTAATTTCCACTGAAACCGACATTTTTGCTCAAATCGTGAGTCACATATTCGGTTAACACTGTTGCTTATAGGTTAAAAATAAATGTTAAGGCATGAATGGAACATACGACGTCGACACTTAACGATGTACATGTAAGGACACGTCAGAAAAGCTTAATTTTTACCTAGCAGGTGCTTTTAGGTGCGGAACTGAGATTGGGACAGGGTATGGAAGTGACATTTTAACTACATTTTTTTGATTATCTCTTCGAGGAGTCAATGTAACAGCTTGAATGTTTTTTCCTAGAAAGCTCAACACTTTTAACACAACTTCACGCACTTTAAACATTCAATTTGTAGCAGATTCCTCAACATATTGAAAATATTGCATCACATACCAAATAAAATAATTTGATTATGAACCATCTTACATATTTCGTGTATTGCGATAAGACGCAAGTTTCGTTAATAAAGATACAGTAAAATCTTTAAGAGAGATTATAGTATCTGTGACACCACGATTCAAGCATTGATTCTCATATAATGTACTTCTTGGAACACAACTAAAATAATTTACAAATTTCTAAAAGCATACATTTCAAGATAAACTAAACCTGTATGTTAGAAATTCCAACCATAGATATATTGCTTAATCGAGTTTACAACTCTAATTCAATGAGGTAATACAAAGATCATAGTTCAAAAGAAATTATCATGATCACTTGATTAAACAGCTAACGATCAACTGACATTACAATTAGTGTGTTTATGTATGTGGATAACTTTGGATACGATACTGCACTTATACACCATCTTTTTAAACTTTTTTAGTTTTATAAAATGCTAATCGTCCATTTTTTAGAAGAAAAAGATGTAATGGGGCTCAAAAACAGTACTACCTCAGATAGCTTTGGAGTATGCATACTATAATCATAAAGAATTCATGAAAAATGTAAAACCAAGCCACATTTATATTGTAAAAAAGATTAAGAAACTCAAACAAGCATGTTCAAGTACTGTTAGGATTATCAGAACAATAGTGCTTGGATTCGTTTTCTTTATTAACATACTTACAAAGTGTTACAATAAAAAAGTAATGTAATAAGTGCAAAAATTAATTTATAATTACTTAGGCTAAGTGATTTTTCAGTATTTGAAAAAAATCGTTGAATGCAAATGACATTAAATTGCAAACATTAAATTAACAATTATTTTACATGTAACGAAGGCAGCCAACCTCACGATCACTTGTGTCACAAGCACTGATGTGACCTGGCTCATGGTCATAGACCACAGAGATGTAGGCTGCGCTCTCCGTCCTCTGGTTTATTCCGGGTAGTGTGTCCGTTACCTGGTTAGGCACTAATTTGCCAGATCAATATTAAATCCTATGAAAAATTAAGTCGGTCCTTAGTGGCTCTAATTCTAGTTCTCAGCTCTGCAAACTCCACGAGCAACTTCCTAATTTCGACTCGAAAAAAATACCCAAAACTGTTAGACCAAGAGCTGAGATCAGGGCTGGTCAAAATTTTAACCAGCCGCCACTAGAACCAAAATTTAGGAACTCTATGATTTGTGGAGATCACATATATATTTTTGGAGGTCAAGTTCCGGGTGAAAGATGCATTCTAATCTTGCCGCAAACTGCACTTTCAGATAATCACTTTTTTTCTATATATATTGCTGTGAGTTGCGGCTACTTAGTAAAAAAGACCATATGGCACAACTATAATTACCACACAACTCTTTACCAGAACTATATATAACCAAAATACTTCGGATCTGCAGCTGCACAAATTATAAGGTTCCTCAATTTTTGTACGAGTGGCGGCGGGTTAAAATTTTAACTACCCTTTTGGCCTCAGCCTCAGCTCTTGGTCTATTACTCTTATCGCACTTACGTGCTCAAGTCTTTATTTCCCTTCTTATCGCATTCGTGTGCAAAGGCCCTTAATTTCTAGTACCAAATATTTTTAATTTCCAGATTTTATTTCGTGCATCTTTTTAAATTAAGCTTAGTCAAAGTATCATAATAATTAGTGTGATAATAAGTGGCTATTAATGAGTACTTGACATATTTCAATTTGCTTCAAGAAATTAATTAAGTTGCATTTTATATTACTCAATGAGTGCTGAGGAAGAAGTATTGCATATCCAACGAAAATTGATAAAAATGACCAATGGTGATGGAACGGTACAAACTCATTTGAAATTAAACACAAAAATTAAGACTCATATTGTACAACTTGACTGAAAAACGTTCTTTCCTTCAATGCATGGTTATTAAAAATTTTCTAGGGTCAAGAACAAGCTCTTGAATTACTTAAAATTCTACAACAGTTACCAGTGAACCTAGATTTACTCCAAAAAACACGAATTGGAATGACAGTAAATGCTCTTCGGAAGTCAAGTAAAGATGATGAAGTTATAGGTCTCTCCAAAACCTTGATCAAGAACTGGAAGAAATTTTTGTCAGGTTAGAATGAATTTTGACACGTTATAAAATAGATGATTTGATTGTAACATGTTGAAAATGTATTTGTTTTGGTATGATTTCATGCAGTCTTGATTACATACATTCATTTCTTAATTTGTGATACATTAACTGCGCGATAATTTGCACTAAGTTTCATCTGAAGTTTGATGTTATATGGTTCAGTTATACATATATATTTTTCATTAAAAAGAATCTTTTTTTTCTTAATAAGAAATAAATAGTTGTAATTATGACAAATAACTATTTAATTTAAAGTGCAAAATAGTTTCAGTAATTTACCAGAACATTCTTTAGAGCGCACACGTACTACTAGAGGAAGTATGGCAATGTCTCACGGCTGTGACAAGGCAGACCATGTTTCAATAGTTGCTATCTCTTAGATTAAGAGCCACGAACCTTTTTGTGCTTAGTTGAGGATTCTGATGGTTGTGACAAGTACGACACATTTTCTGTAGTCGTGAATGTAATTAATTCGAATGGATTTTTGCAGTATGTCTGAGGGAGGAAGAGTTATAGTGTATCTGTCTAGTGCTAAAACGTCAGGGTAAGATACTGGTTGCAAACGATAAGGTTGATTATTAACTTTACCAACAATTTAAAACCATCAGTTACAACAGTTCTTTGTAGGGAAAGACATTTATGGATGAAAATTTATCCAAAAAGGGTGAAATCGGGCTTTTACCAGTTTTTAGTTGCCACTCTGACTTTTACTACTGATCACGAATGTAGGAGTCCTGCGCTAGCCAGAGTAGTAACAAAAAGTCGGTAAAGCACGATTTCAGATTTTTAGATGAATTTTTACTTGCCAAATGCCCTTTCTTCCATAGAAAATGGTCACACCATGGTTTCAGATTCTTGATAGAGATAATTAATAGAACTTATCGTTTGCGCTCACTAATATACGTCAGGATGGCGAGTCAAAATTCGACAAAGCCCGATTTCTAATTTTTTCGATGCACTACACGTGCACTACATAGCTATATGCAACTATATAACCTACGAAATTGCCTTCAGAAACATGATGGTCGCAAATCGTGGTTTTTAAATTGTTGGTGTTGTTAACTATAGAAAGCAATTATTTGCTACCAGTATCTCAAATGATAGTTTCAGCACTGTGCAGATACCATGATAACTTATCCTTCCTCCCTGCTACAGCGGAAACCTTCCCGATAAATTCTATTCACAACTGCTGGGGTCTAATCAAAATAATAAATTTGATATGGTACCAGTGGTGGGTAGGTAAGTTACCTTCCGTCATTTACTTAGTTTCTTACAAGAAAATACCTGTGAATGACCTGGATCAGTTTCTGACATTAAATGTCGTTTTGTAAGAAAACATCTGCCCCTATAGTATCCATGTTGTGCAAAAGTAACTTCATTTGTACGTACATGTATGTAGGATTAATTATAATAAAAATTCATGAGTTGATTTTATTAATACCAATACAAACATCTGTGTTTTTAAATAAAAATGTACTGCTTTAGTTACAAGCTAACCAGTGTCCCCAAAAGTAGTACCAAGAGTAAAGCGCGAAATTCAAATCAAGTCTAACAACACAAGTGCCTATCACCCAATAACCCTGAGTGTTTACTAGCCACTCTTATAAACAATAAATTGTTAATTAATAACACAAGTGCCTATCACCCAATGACCCTGGGTGCTGACTCGCCACTCTCTTAAATAATGAATTGTTAATCAATAACACAAGTGCCTATCACCCAATGACCCGGGGTGCTTAATGGCCGCTCCAATAAATAATAAAATGTTAAATAATAATACAGACGCCTATCACCCGATGACCGAGGGTGCTTACTGGCCACTGTAATAATTGTTGAAGTGTTAAATAATAACACAAGCACCTATCACATTATGACCCATAAATAACGTAGTGGCTAGTGAGCACCCCGGATGATCGGGTGATAGGCGCTTGTCTTATTAATAATCAAATAGTTAATAATTATTTAATAGTGTGGCCAGGGGTCTGATCGGGGCATTCGATATCTCGCTCGATCTCGCTGAAATAAGCAGTTTTTTCGATAATCCCTATAAAATAACCAAAAATAGCGATAATGCGCATGCTTAGTTTAGGGATTATCGAAAAAACTGCTTACTTGAGCGAGATATCGAATGCCCCGATCAGACCCCAGTAAGCACCCTGGGTCATCGCGTGATATGCGCTTGTGTTATTTATTAATAATTTATATATTGAACAGTCACCAGTAAGCGCTCTGGGTCATCGGATGATATGCGCTTGTGTTATTAATTAATAATTTTGTTATTTAACAGAGTGGCCAGTAAGCACTCCGGGTCTTTGAATGATAGGCGCTTGTGTTGGTAGACCTTATTTCAATTTATTGTTTACGTTCGGTGCTACCTACAGGCTCACTGGTTGTAATCAGTACGACCTCCATGAAAATGTACACTGTAACATAAAAAAAAAAAAATTAAAAAAAAAATTTCTCAGTCGGGCTCGATCCAGGTCTACAGCTGCAAAAAAAAACACCATTCGGCGCAAGCAGTCCACTCAGCTATCATCATTGCCTTCTAGGATTGCAGTAGATGTAATATACATATTGTAAGTCACCAGAGCTTGAGTTATACATATATTGGCTAAAGAGATAGAGAGTTATCAAGGTATAGCTATATATATGCTCTCTTCTTCTACCAGCTCCACTCTTAAAGACGACTATAACTATATACACGGAAGGGGGCTAGCCAATCATCGGAGTGTAAGAGAGAGAAAGCATATCCTGCTTTACGGGCCCTGTCTCTCTTTGCTAGTCTCGCAGCCGAAGCATTGCATGCTCCCTCCAGGTATATATGCTCTAAGAATAAACCTCTCATTTACGTCGTTTACCCACCACTGCATGGTACGAGTGAGTTAAACAAAGTCAATTCACGACACGTAAAATATTTTATTTACGACGTGTCACTAAAAATCAATTTATGACACCCGGTGCATTTGCGACATGTCCCGATTATAGATCAAGAGCTGAGGCCAAAGATGGTCAAAATTTTAACCAGCCGCCACTTTCACCAGAATTAGGAAACCTTATGATTAGAAAGAAATCTGAAATATTTTGGTCATATTCTATTCTGGTAAAGAGCTACGTAGTAAATATAGTTGTGCTATATGATCTTTTTTATTATCCAGCCGCAACTTACGGCAATGGTTAAAAAATGAAGAGTGGACTACTGAAATACCATTTGCGGCAAGATTACAATGCATCCTGTACCTGAAAATCAGCCTTCAAAAAAATAGACCCTACCCGATCCTATCTCTATTTCTTATCGAAGGTAGTAAAAGATGTATTATAGATAACATTATAGATTAGAATGCAATATCTATATTTTTGGAGGTCGCGTTTAGGGTACAAGATGCATTCTAATATTGCTGCAAATGGCATTTCCAGTTGACAACTTTTTATTTTTTATCCATTGCTGTAAGTTGCGGCTACTTAGTAAAAAAGACTACATGGCACAGCTTTAATTACCACATAACTCTTTACCAGAATAAAATATGACCAAAATACTTCGGATCTGCACGAATCATAAGGTTTCTCAATTTTGGTACGAGTGGTGGCTGGTTAAAATTTTGACCACCCTCAGGTATCAGCTCTTGGTCTTTTAGAAACTTCAAGGAGCCAGCTCTGTGTATTATCCGACATATACAGATGTATGCAGTGTTAAGTGAGGAGGATATGATTTTGCATTATTATCACTAGGACCTATATATAGCTACAGATCCTAGTGAGAAAAATGCACAAGCTGATTGGAAAGAGGGAGGAGGCCAGTGGTTCTCCCCAAATGTGACTAGCAAACTTGTGGGAAATTCAAATTGGCAATGTGGTGCAAGACGCAAATACCCAGATAACTCGACACAATTACATGCACCAAAACTTACTAAACTAATCCCAAGCCATTTAACCCAATAACCCAAGGGGCCAACAAGCAGCCTCATTAGTTTGAATAAATAATAAAATTTAGTAATTAACAAAGCAAGCGCCAATCCCCACACAACCCAAGGCTCTTACTGGTTGCTTTAATTATTTATGATTAATAAAATAATACCGCAAGCGCCTATCCCCACACAACCAGGGGAGCTTACTGGTTGCTTTAATTATTTATGATTAATAAAATAATACCGCAAGCGCCTATCCCCACACAACCAGGGGAACTTACTGGTTGCTTTAATTATTTATGATTAATAAAATAATACCGCAAGC